ATAGTAATTAAGAGAGCCGTACGGCCGTTATACAGCCGCCATTACGGCCCGTACCGAAAGAAAGGCCGTTCACAGAACGACGGAACGAAGGGTTGAGTTCGTAGCCTCCGCCGAGCATTCTCGGCTTCCGCATCGACTGCGAATCCTGACCGACCTTCCGACCGATTCAAATGAGAGCGGAGTGTTCGCCGCTCTCCTAGATCTACATCTACGGTCTAACATCCGACCGTTCCGGCCAGACGGACTGCGGGTTAGCGAGTTCGCTGCCCCGTCAAGCTTTCTCGACTCCGCCGGCCATTCTTAGATCCGCGTACAGAATAGGGACGGAGAGTTCTCCGCCCGATCGGGAGTACCCGATTTCTTGCCGCATCCCCGCTGGGAATATGCGATGCGTCCACAACACATTGACGCATAATTAAAACACGGCCTTGCCGTCCGCACAAATAAATCGCCGCGCCGATTACCTGTCGCACCGTTTATTGTATATCCTGCGCCAGTCAAAATAAACATGGCCTTGCCGTACGTGCGCCGACTAACCGCCGCCCCGTTTCTTTCCTCTCTTACGCCGTCACAACAAATACGGCCTCGCCGTACGTATAATACTCGCAAAATTATCCGCACGTACACATAAAACACGCGCCGAACAACTATCGCGCTTTAAATATATCTCGCGCTTTAACAACCGCCGCGCACCCGCTTTGCGGGAATTAATCGCTTCTGTATTTAACATCTCTGTAAACTGACCCTTTCATGAGCCCTGATCCGGACCGAGCATATCCGAACTCGAAAGCGGCCCGTTACAATTTCTTTGTTAACAACATTGTGTGAGGCACAAGACTAAACAGAATTATAAGTTTATAATAATCATGATGAACTGCCTGAAAAAAAGAAATACAGTCATTCAATGACACTACTTATGGAAGATAAGCAAATGAAAACAATATCGGAAGTTCCACAAGTACGTTGATATAAAATATATTAAGATTAGTTTTAAAAAAATATTTAATACGATTTATAAACATTTCTTAAAATCTTAACTTATTGTTTATCATCTTCTAAAGTCTCTAAAGGTACTGCAATATTTCCATGCATAATTTATAATTGCGCAGAAAAAATTAGATTAAGATAAGAATTATCGAAAACTAAACAACACTACACATCACGGATAAAAGTTTTGAAGCAGGAAACAAGACATATGGAAAAAGGATGGCTACTATCTGTACTTGAAGCTCTAAAGAAACGAAATTTATTACAAAATGAACAATTATATAGTTTAAAAGGTATCGCAGTAGGAAATGCACATTTATTAAAACAATTAATTTATAAATCTAAAGGAGAGTCACTTACTCGCAAGTTTTTGTCTGCATTGCAAACTTTTGCTCTAACACTATATTATTATTCCCCGCGAGCATATTCATATGTTAGAAAAATTTTTAATTCATATCTTCCACATCCAAAAACTTTGTATAAATAGTATTGTTCAATAAATGGTGAACCTGGATTTAATAAAGAAGGCTTAGCGTATATTAAAGAATACGAATAATTCTAATTCTACATTACTTGGCACTTTAATGATAGATGAAATGGCAATAAGACAACAAATTGAATTTGATGAGAAAAAATTTTATGGTCATTATGACATGGGCGATAATATTGTGAGTGAGGAATCAATTATTGCGAAAAAGCGCTTGTATTTTTAGTTGTTGGTATAAATAAGTTATGGAAAATACCAGTAAGGTATTTCCTAATTAGCAGCATTAATGAAGAACAAAAACCAAATTTAATAAATGAATGTCTGTCATTATTGCATGATCGTAGAATAAATATTAAAACTGTAACATGTGATGGTGCCGCGTCTTAAGCATGATACGTCTGTTATAATGTAATATTAATCAACCACACATTTACAGACATATTTTCAGCATCCCATCTCTAAACATAAAGTATATGTATTCTTTGATCCATGTTTAAATTGATTAATTGATACGGAACACTTTGGGGGAATATATGATAAATGTATTACAAAAGTGGACACGATATAAAATGGGAATATATTGTTGCTCTACATAAACTCCAAGAAAACAAGGGTCTACATATAGGTAACAAATTGTGGAAAGAGCATATGGAGTACTACAGAAAAAAAAGATGAACGTGCGATTTGCTGCTTAAGTATTTAGTTGCAATTAGAAAATTTTTTGTATTCGGAATCAACAGAAGATTTTCTGGAATGGTCAATAATTTATTCGATATTTTTAATTCCAGGAATTTAAACAAAAGTTTTAAACGTTTAATAAATTCAGATAATTACGAATGTGTTATATGTAAGTTAGAGAAGGCAAGCAATATTGATTAAACTTAAGATTTAAAAATGAGCAATTATTAATACATTCTAATCGAAAAACGGGTTTTCTTGGGTTTTTGATTAATACTGAAAGCTTAAAAATATTATATCAGGATATATGCCAAAAAGAACAACTTGCGCCATATATATCATTATATCAAATTAAGACCATCATATATCAAGTCAAGACCATCTCGAGATATTTTTTGGATGCATTCGCATCCAAAAAATTGTGTAAAGCTGTAAGGATCCACTGGAAGGTTATCCAGGATAAAGAAATCTCTTGAATGTCAGGATTAAGAGAGGCTTAAATAACGGGAGGTTTTCCAGCATGGATTATTAAAGAATTACAGCTTGTATGCTGTATAAATATATATGTATATTTGTAAAACACAATATAACGTTGTTACGAATACGCGAACTCTTACTAGCGGTATCTAACCGAAAATAGCTTAGAGCTTCTTAACGCGCGGAAGGCTTAGCACGCACTCACTTCTTCCTTCGCGAGTCTTCCACCCGAACCGACAGCGCCGATCGCCAGTTCCTTTTTAACCAATAGTAACGCTTTCATCATCGTGACGTCATTGCGTTCGCGCAGACGTCTGCCCGAATGCGCACGCAATCTTAAATAAATGGCGCGGGCATAGACATAGTATATCTAGACCGAGTGTTGAGGAGTGGGAGCCGAGGTGCACGTAGAAAAGGATGGGTAAGGTGTAACCTTACAGATTCGGCCATATTATTTTGGACGATAAAATAATAATCCTACTGTTAGAGATAGTTTAAAGCTGCATTTAAAAAATTACGGCTCGGAACAAAAATTAAGGGTGCAACAACGGATAATTGCACATCTCTCTGGATCATATATCTATATTAAGCGCAACCTCTGCATTTAAACCAAAAGAATTAATAAATAAAACTTGTATGATTGATCGTATGACTGATAATTATGAAGTTGATATTGAAAAATATATAGATCAAATTTCAATTAAACACGATCATCCTTATATTGAAGTTTTAACTTATAATATTATAAATTTAACTCATTATTCTGTAGAAGTTATAAGTTACATTGCTGGATTTATTGTTAAGCATTTAATCAAATATATCATGTGTGATACTTGTGTTTATGCTTTAATTGATAATAGTAAATCGGGAAAAATTATACAAATAAAAGATCGTGGTAGTTTAATATATCCTTCAGCAAGTGTAATAAAAATATGCCTCGAAACGGAAAAGGTTATCAGATTTGCCATAAAAGAAAACAATGTAATTTCAAATTCGAAATATTTCATTCATTATTATAAATAAAATCTTTAATTTTATAAATTTAATTATTTAAATTTACCTATAATATATATTACATTAATATGTGTTATTATATATTATTACTATAATTGGTTTTAGTTTAGCCGTCAAACAAACATCAGAAAATGACGTTCCGTGAATGTGACATATCGACATCATTTTCGGGTCTCAAGAGACCTAACTTAGAACATTTAATTAGTCATTTTGTGACCAAAATTTAATCAACATACAATGGATATCTACACTAATATCCATTGAATATCTACATAAATATCCATTGAATACTGATATGGATGTCTAATGGATATTGGCCTACATGTCCTGTGGATATTTATAAGGTCTATTACGGACATTTGAATATTTAAAGCATGTCTAATAGCTGTTTCCTACATATTCATGGATATCCCTAATGCACATTAAGAACATCCAGTAGATATCTAATATACATTAATTTCTGTATGAGATTCATATAACAAAATTATATAAATATCAAATCAATAACAATAACATGTTATATCTTAATTTTATTACAGTTATGTTCTTAATGTATCAATAATATAACATTATATAATAATATAATTGTATGTGTAACATAAATGTATAATTGCTATATAACATTGTTACTTCCTTGCGTGGGAAATTACAAGGAACGAATGTATTATATATTACAATCCTGTAATATTACTTGTTATATTCGGTTACACTGAGTTATGTAATCGTTATAATATAGTTATAAAAGTATATTTGCTGGGATAGGACTTCTTGTTATATAAATCCGGTTAACACATACATACACATAACGAATTTTACATAAGTAATTTTTAGAAAGGTTAAAATATGAAGATATGAGGTACGTTTTTACTATGGCACATCAAGATATTTAAAATTAGTTTACAAAATATTTAAATTTATTTAACAAAATATTTAAAATCTTTTAACTTTTTAATAGAGGAAATGTTTATTAACATTTTAACTGGGTACGCTGTAACTATCCATCATAGTTTAATGTTACTACAATGGATGTAACAAACTGGTACATCATGCAATGTTTGTTTGAAAAAAAGAAAATATCTTGAAAAAAAAGTATTCCTGGGCATGTTCGATTAGTAAAAAATAAATACTCAATTAAGAAATTAAATAGTACTACATCATTCTTATTGGATTTTAACATTAAAGAAAAATATTGTATTTACAATAAGCAATCTTGAAAAATATTGTTAAAAGATATTTAAATACAAAAGATATCTCTAATATGACAATTAATATTATTAAAATCATTACAAAAATTGTACGTTATGTTAATGTACATGTTTTATATTGTGTAAATACTATGTTTAAATATGTTACATACCTGAATACTTGGACCTGGAATCATACGATTGATGGAAAATATTGTTTTTTCAAATCCATCACCTATAACGCATTCACATGACGAAGTAATTCCCGAATTATTCACTGGTTGTTCACAATAGTCACACGCACTGAAATAAACAAATTTAAAAAAGTTATCAAGAGGCATGGTAGTGTCTCGCGCCAAGTTCACATACAGAAATAGCAAGTCACTCCCTGCATCTATACGCGCGAGTCAGCTAATTGAAAGTACCTTAGAGTATCGAACCTCAATAACGGTTGAACCGATCGAATTTTTAATAAGCTTAAATGATAACTTGGGTGAATTATATGAGGAAAGCGTATTTATTTTTTTTTCTTCATGCATCGTGAACGGAAGTAAATATAAATGTCACCACACCATCGTGAACGGAAGTAAATATAAATGTCACCACACCATTGTCATCATCGCATTACACGCATTATATACATGTATACAGATATACACAACACATGCAATTGAAATGTAATGGTTACATTGACATCATGCTTCATATAACGGAAAGTAGGGTAAAACCGGGTAAGCGGGTCAAACCGGGTACCTCTGTTTTTTCATGATAAGTGCTACTATCTTTGGCTAACTCGTTTTAGTTGTAGATTGATGCCAACATTATTTTGAGATGAACTGTGCCCACATGCGCATGATATTTCTTTTTTTAGAGAAGTTCAAAATTTTCGGGCCAAAAAAGATCGATATCGGGACAACAATCAAGTCGTTATGGACTTTTTCTACACAGAACATCTGCTTCGGTAAATGCAGCATTGCATTCTGTACATATTAGAGAGTATATCTACACTAGCTTTGATCGTCACTTTGTACGTCAGAATATATAACCGCCGTGTTTGTTCCTTGTTGGGCAAAACCGGGTACCTACACATTTCATGTAATGAAAAGAAGAAGAACTGTTATCCTGACTTTGTCTCCCTACAAAAAGCAGTTGGAAACGAAAACTATCACTCAGAAAAAGAAACCACTAAAAAAAAGCTTTTTGAAACCCCTAAAGTTAAAAAATTAAATAAGGAAGTCCTGCAGCAATGTCGAACAAGAGTTGTATTTGGAATGAATATATATATAACAATTTTATTCGTAACTTGGCTTAATTACAAAGTTCCCGCACGTCACTCGCGTCGCGTATCGCGATATCGGATATCTTGGCGTGCGCGTGTCTGGAGTCGAGTTTCGGTCGCGAGACTCACTTGTCGATCTTATGTATTTCTTTCTGCCGACTGCGTGGTGTTAATTTAATAGTTTCCCGTAACAAGCGTTATTGACTGCCCGCGTAATGTTAATTAATGGTAAAGACTGCCCGCCGCTCGTTAGCAATGGGTCTTTTTATTATCTCCCCTTGGTTTCCCAGGAGGAGATCGTTTAGCGACAAGACCATGTGTCGTGTCGCTCGATTTTTGCGGCAAGATCCGGATGCAAGCTAAGGAGTTTTAAGTAGTACTTCTTTGGTTGCATTTTCGCAATTTCCTTATTCCTTTTTATTTCGTTTTTAGGTAGGACCTCTACGTTGCATTTTCGCAACGCCCTTATTCCGCTTGCCTTGATTTCCGCGTTTTCGCAATGAAGTGATTGCGCGGTCGCTCGGGCTTCGCGCGTGGCTCGCGTTGTCAGCGCTTCGCTCGGTCAACGTTCGTAACGTGATCTGTATTCGCGTTACACGTTGAGCAATCTTATTCCGCTTGCCTTGATTTCCGCGTTTTCGCAATGAAGTGATTGCGCGGTCGCTCGGGCTTCGCGCGTGGCTCGCGTTGTCAGCGCTTTGCTTGATCAACATTCGTAACGTGATCTGTATTCGCGTTACACGTTGAGTAATGTCTTATCGTATAAAATAATATCTCTAAAATACTATATATCTAGTAATTCGTGTATAGCCTTTTTGGGCTATAACAGTATTTTGATTAAATAAATCTAGATTTTGTAATTGCACGGTATTTTACATGTTTTCATATAGATACACGGTTTTACCCTACCGGTAGGGCAAAACCGGGTACTTTGACTTCTCAAAAAACTCTTGTTACCCTTGGTAACCAAATATTTTTTTTCCTGCAACTAACTTTATTTTCTTATAGTTTAATGTCCACTAAAGACTGCTAACGATCAACAAAATTGTTTTTACTATCTGATTTCTTGTAGGAAGACAAATCCAAGAAAGTACCCGATTTTATCCTACTTTCCTATATATGTATATACAGGGTGTCCGATAATTTTTGACACACTCGAAGTGTGAAGGTAGATTGGCTCAAACTGAGAAGGAAAGTTCTATACCATTTTGCGATTTTCGTAATAATTATTGAGAAATTAAATAAAAAAGATCGATCAATTCGCGCGAGTATAAGCGCGCAGCGAGAAAAGACAACCCAAAAGTAGGCGTGCGACGAAGTTTTGGGAGGAGCGCTCTAGAAATGACAACAGTTACATACGAGCGATACATAAAGATGGATTCTCGCGTCCTAGCAACCACAAATCAATTAGTGTAAAAAAAATAATTATTTTTGAGAAAAAGTATGTAAATATTTACAATGTATTTTTTAAAACAATTATACTTTTTCATGAACAATTTTTTGATTTGATAATTTGATGAAATATTTTTAGAGTTATTAGCTTGTAACACTTTACGTGGGCCACCCTGTATATATATATATATATATACTGTGACGTGACGTTTTTGGGACGTCCGTCACAAGGGCCGAATGGCCCGATCGGGGGCGGTTTCTCGGAGGCCTGCGTTCTCCTAATTTAGGGAGAGAGCGGCCCGATCGTCAGATCGACGAGATCTGACTTTTTGTAATAATTATCGAAAATGTAAGCTCGAGATGAGCCCGCGAGTTAGTTGTCGGCACAAGGTCGAGCGGCGGAATCCCATCCGGCGGAAGAAGAGGAAGAGAGAAGAGCGACAGCCGAGAGCGGGAGTCCAGGACACCCAGGAAACAGGAGACGTCAGGTCGTAGTTGTCTAATATTAAAAACACTTTTGGTGGCTAGTAAACATCGCTGCCGGTAATTTTATATTTCTTATGGTCGGAAAGAGGCGCGGAGGGCCGGAATAATCCGGCCGAAGGGGCGGCCACTCCACCCGCACGAAGCGAGGGAGTCCCAAGGATGGAGCGACGAGCGGACTTTCAATCCGGAGCCTATTCGACCAAATAGGAAAGAGAGCCGATCGGGCGCAGCCGTAAGCCCGCACCTTTAAGCCGAACAGAAAATTTTGGGAAACTCCGGGGCGATGAACCCACCAGCACGGCCGTGATGACAATAAGGATCGCGAGGACCACAAGACGGCCCTGCGTAACGCGAAAGCGCCACAGGTGGCACGATAGCGATTTATCGCGCCGGCGTGTCTCCTGCAGGATTCTCGCTCGGCACTGTTCGGCGAGCTATCCGGTAGGATGCAGGTCTCTTGAAGCGAGCGATATCGAAGCGAAACTGCGACGAAGAACCCGAAATCTTCCAGCCGGTGGGACGAGTGTCGCCAGCCAGATTTTGTTGCCGAATTATTGTAGGTAATTAATTCGGATGAGTCGCGCCCTTTATAAGTGTCGAGCCACGCGTTTTGCGAATTAACTTTTGTGAAATTTTGGTAGATTGCGTCGCACAGCCGACGGGCATTAGTCACTCATCCGAATTATGCAGAACAGGCTCTCTCTATGTATTTCGTCACCGCCGACAGTCATTAATGTTAGTTTCGCGTTTATAATCATTGTATGTTGTAAATTATCGGGATTTTCACGCTCGCGCGATCGATATTCGGGATCGCGCAAAGTATTGCGTCACGCGACTCGTACACCACAGTCATTCTCGATAGTTTGCGTATTCTTTTTGTGTATTGTTAGCCACTATTTTGTACAAGTGATGCGTAATTAGAGTGAGGAGAAAGCATAATTCTAAAAAATTGGACCGAGTATCTATCGGGTGTCGTTGAGCCCGCTATTAGTTTCCGCGAGTCACTCGAAATATATTTCACGTATTTCAACGCAAAGGTCGTCGTCATTGTTATCGGGACACATATCAGCTCACCGCGAGCCGTGTTAAAAGACCGATTCGAGTCGTATAATCGGAAAATTTCCATTGTATTGAGGTGGGTTCACGAACGTGCGTAAGGTAATTACCGGTGCGTTCGAGAGATTTCTTTAGTTGTCGTGGCCTGAATAAGTCACGTACGGTGGAAATCCTCGCGGCCTAAAAGTCGAGTTAAATCACATAAGGCGTCCGGTAATCCGATACTGTTGCGCACGGTCGTGCCCATCTCCGCGGAAATAAACGATATCTCATTCGCATGGAAAATATCAGCTGTCACCGAAAGCTATTGGTTATACGGACCACTTTATTCTTTTATTGTTAATATATTGCTGCTATTTCTACTTCAAAACATTGAAGGCTTTATTTTAGCCCCCGTGTTCTCGATTCTCTACTTTCTCCCGTTCCCCGAGCCACCCTCTCTACCCCTTGGGAATACTGTCTAGCCGCGTATTCTGCCGTCGCGTTAATTATTGGTTCCGCTAATTTTCCTCGTGTTTGCTGTCGTCTTACGTGGTGCGGCCTGCCGTACCTGGCGCCCAACTCGGTTTTTTTTTTTTTTTCACGTAAATTCGAATCTTTGAAGCGAAATCGATCTTCGAAGTACGCGCCGAAGGTGTGCCGTGGGCATCGAAAACCGCCCGCCGAATAAATAATTAAATAATTATATAAAAATAAGAATACGGTTAAAATACATATATACGGGGTGTTAGAAAAGTCTGGAAACAGTCAAATATCTCGTAAACAATGCATTTAAAAAAAATGTTTCGGACAAAAGTTGTATGGTTTCGAGGGGGACATAAGGTGGTGTCATTAATTTGACCTTGAATAGTTGCTTGAAGGTCACGTGAAGGTCACCTTCAATTTTTTTAATGGAACTGCCTACTTTTTATTGCATATTCTTGTAGCTTATCTCGAGAGCTTTTCAAAACACTATAATAAAAGTATTTTTTCATTAGGTACTTTTTGAGTTATTTTATATTTTAATCTGACATATTTTGATATAAAAAATAAAATATCTCGTAAAATATTTAGTTTTCGATAATCTTACCGTAATACTTTTATGTACAGA